AAACGTAAAGGGTGAGGTTTCTGTCCTGGAGCCGATGTATTTATATTCAGTCCCTGTAGAGGATTGTGTGTTAACTTCCTCTTGCCAACATGTCGGCTTGTTTGTCATTTTTTGATCGGTTGTACTATAGATGGTCCAAAGACCATTCAACCATTTAAGGTCTTTAGGAGCATTGCCATTCCATCCTTCCTTGATCTTCTCTAGCGTTGCAGGATCACAAACTGATTGGATCTCTTTTAGACAGGTCAACGCCAAGATAGCAATTGTAGCAATGACAGTCAACGCCATGTCAAAATGTCGTGATAAGAGTAAAAGATCTCAACACTGTTTCACTATAGTGATAAAACGTTGCGTATATGTAGACAAGAGTCGTGGTATAAGCTTGGTTTAAGGTATGTTAAACTGCACGGTGACAAGTGTGGTTCCAGCTGTGTAACTAAAATTATATTGTAAAAGCTATTAAAACAATTATTGTTTGGATAGACAGAAATAGACATTTTTTATTTGCTCAAAACTTAAATACTTTAATACTTTTCTACTTTAATACTTTAATACTTTTCTAACACATTCAGTATTCCATCATAACATTTAGAATAAGTGCATTGTCAAAATTAAGTCCATACATAAAACATTAAATTCAATGATAGAGAACAATAATAGAGAAGAAATAGAAATTCAGAGCAGACTCACAGCAGCAGAAAGATCATACTGGAGTTTAATAAAATTATTCAAAAGCAAACTGCTATCAAAAACCACTAAAATAAGAATGTATAAAACTATAGTGCAACCTGTATTGCTATACGGGTCAGAAACTTGGTCTTTTACCAAAAAATCCCAGAAGCGCCTTATTACTTTTGAAAACAAAATTTTGAGAAGAATTTTTGGACCAGTAAAAGAAGGAAATGCATGGAGGATAAGGAAAAATAGAGAGTTAAAAGAATTATATGGTGAACCAGATATTGTGGGAATAGTTAAGAGTAGGAGGTTGAGATGGATGGGCCATATTAACCGTAGAAGTGAGAGAGAGATGGTAAAGATGGTACTCAGAGGTATACCAGAAGGAAGGAGACCATTAGGTAGACCAAGAATGCGATGGGTTGATGAGGTGACGAAGGACTTGAGAGGAATGGGAGCAGACTTGGAGCTGGCAGAGGATAGAAGAGCTTGGAGGCACATGGCTGGCGAGGCCAAAAACCACCTAGGTTTCCAATGGCCACAGGAGTAAGAGTAAGTAAGTAAGTACATAAAACATTAAACATTTAAACCAAACTTAAAATTAAATCAAAATTCATGTTTCTGGCCCTTGGACTATTTTGTTAAGACAATAATAGGTTTGGACATACCTCCGTCAAATAGTCTAATGTTTCATATTGCTCATCAGCTTACATGTTTCGTTGCAAAGACAACATTTTCAAAGCTTGCAACTCAAAAACCCATTTAAAACATGGACGACACGAACACAAAAAACATTAAAATGGTATGAATACGCAATAAACATTTATAGCGCTATCATGATACTGATTTGGTCCAGAGTGGCGTGGGGTTGGTAGCAGACTTGGAGGTCTACGTCACGTCGTCTCCTCTACTGTTATCACTCATGTTATCAGATCTTTGGTCAGCTGTTTCTGAGTTTATGATTGTATTGAAAATCGAGTTAGACCGTAACTGTAGTTTTTTTAACATGTTCGCTACCAAGCATTGCATATATGCTACTCCGCGATCATTGCCACGGACCGAGGTATACCATATAATCTTACACATAGGGCGGCTGTCACTTGGTTAACAGTACATGCAGACCATGGGCGAAAACCTGTTAAACAGTGATCATTTACTTTGTAATACGCTGCAATCGTGTTTGAAAATAATTTATTCTTGTTTTTTTATATTTTTTGATCACCTTTTGTAATGTCGCATATTTGCGACGGCCGGTCTATAGTGAAGACAATAGTGAAAATTAAAAATTATTATGTTTTTCTTGAAATAGCTCAAATGTTGCATATATGCGACAGTTAATTTTTTATGTTTATACTTTGAGGTGAAAGTGAAAAAAAAAACAAAAACAGATTATTCAAGAACAGTTTATAATTGAACAAATATTAAAGCTACATAGGATAATACAGCATCCTACAGGTTAGGTTTGTACAGGTTAAGTGTAAGAAAGGGCCATGTGGCCCTAACTTTGCCTGTATAAATAAATGATTTTTCATTTCATCCTAGGATAATACAGATACATACAGTGATGCAGAAAAGTAAAGAACAGTTTTTCATACTATCATAAGACGTCACCAATCATCATCCACAGACCAAGCGACGCAGTTGTGCGCCAGACCTCCATGTAGACCACTGCAGAGAATTCAGTGCCTTCAATAGACGGTTACAAAGATATAAGCCTTTTGATAACATTGGAACACCGACGCAAATACGCGTCGTCAGTCTATTTTAATGTGACAGTCTATGGGTAGAAACTGGCGGTTGCATATGTGCGTCGCTTGTCTATATGAATGAAGAAAATTTTACTATTGCGGTAGCAAACGTGTTAAGGATGTGGTCCTTACACTGTTAGTCATTATAAATACTATAAATCTCGAACTCCTCCAAGGTGTCAAGTTTACTACCTTTCCCACAGACATGTAAAATTTCTAAACCTTTGTCAATGCTGCTCATCGAGTGATTTCAGTCGATCAGGTGTCGGGTAATGGCTGATTTTTTGGAGTTGGCCTGTGTTAAATAAATAAATAAATAAATAAATAAATAATTCTTTATTGTCACATCAACGTTTTGAATCATAGCACAGCTAAAAAACAGATGACATTGTCAAGATTATTACTAAACTAACTTAACCTAATGTACAACAATATGTCTTATGCATTAAAAATGTTTTAAACAAGTTAGCAAAATTGGTTAAACGATAACGGAAAAAATAAGTTTCTAGTCATACAAAATAAAAGTCATATTGATTGGTTAGTTCCATTGAGGTAATCATTAACACTGTAAAATGTTTTACTTATCAGAGCTTTTAAAAGATTTATTATTAATTAAAGTTTTTAGATTTGAGGGTAGTTTATTAAAAAAATTTTTTCCCATGTATTTAGGTGTTTTTTCTACAAGCTTCAGTCTGTGTCTTGGATATTGGAAATTATTTTTAAATCTAGTGTTATAGATGTGGTCAAAGTTTTCGCTAATGTAGTCATCAAAATTTGAATGCACCGCTAACAATGTTTTGTAAATAATCAAATTTGGAATAGTCATAATATTTAATTCTTTAAAAACGGTTTTGCATGAAGATTTCCATGGTAAAAAAGCCATAATTCTTATAAACTTTTTTTGAATTTTAAAAACTTTTTCAATTTCAGAGGCAAACCCCCAAAATTTAATTCCATACTGTACTATTGAATAAAAGTAAGCATAATAGAGCATGACAGAAGTTTTCAGGTCTATAGAATTTCTTAAGCATAACATTTGAAAACAGGCTGAATTTAATTTTCCAATTACCGACTGAATGCACTTACTCCAGGTCAAGTGTTTATCAATATATAGCCCTAAAAATTTTACATTATCATCGGTTGGTTGAGATTGATCAGTGAGTGCCATTGATTGAGGTGTACAAAATCTTACAAATTTGGTTTTCTCTTCATTCATTTTCAATCCATTGATCTCAAACCACTTCCCCAATTCGGTTAGGCTTTCTTCAATTTTATGTTTTAATCCCTCATTGTTTTAACTACTGCAGTAGTATCATCTGCATACAGAATTAGATTATTTGAAACATTTTTTGGAAGATCATTGATATATATAAGAAATAGAAGAGGCCCCAAAATCGAACCTTGAGGCACACCTATTCTAATTTTTTGCCATTCTGACTTTACTTTTAAATGTTCCCTGTTGGTATCAAATGCCCGACCCGTCTGGCCTATATATTTGCATGGGCACCAGTTTTGTTTAATTCATTGCTGGACCCTTTGTTGTTGTGCAAAATGTTTCTAGTGCGGTTGGTGGTTCGGAACGTCAAGTAGATGCCTTGCCTATTTAATTCTTTTTCTGAGACCGTTTTCAACTCCACGCAAACATTTTTTCTCTCACTCTTATCTGGTTTAGTATCTTGCTTTCTTTTGTTCTTACATTTGTTGATTAATCTGTCTACAAAATCGTGTTTGTACCCATTAGCTTGAAGTTCGTAATTGGTTATATGATCTCTAAAAACTTCATTTATAAAAGGATTACAAACTTGCATAATTGACTTAAAGTTATCACTAGAGTCATCACATTACAATTTCATTTGGTATGCATACAAAAAAATATAACTCTTACTACTCTTACTTCTACTATTCTTAGTACAATTTGATTTGCCATAATAAATTAACCCTCAAATTTTTAATCTGTGAAAAAAATTAGTATGCCGCCTTACTACTTTGGTTACAGAGAACCATACTACAGTCTTAACAACCACTATGTATCTTTTAATATTTCTAACTAAAACACCACAAATATAATAAAGAACATCTTCTTTGTAGATGGACGTCTCATAACCCATAATCATATTTGCAGCGTTATCTATATCATCCAGCCTATATCATCTAACAACTGCGGGTCTGGCTAAAACTCTAGACTTTCGTTGTGTTGTGAGGGCATATACCACTTCTGCACATCAATTATATTAATTCCCAGGCTAACAGGTTCACATTAGGTTTATTATTATTTCACCATAACAAAAAAATTTTTCAAGATGATATTGTCTCGCTTTAAACGTAAGTATATTCTTAAAACTACTGAGACAATAGTGTATCCCTTAAAATTCAAATAATATTGATGTTTGACAAAAACCCCAACACATATTTTATCTTGCCCCGTCAATAGTTGCCCTTCGAATAATTTTTAACTGTGACAAAATACTTTTTGACGTTTTTAATTGGGACCTTCTCGCCGCCACTACTAAAACATCTGTATGTGATTGAAATGCCAATATTTTTAGATTTTAGTAAATGTGGTGTTTTTTGTTTCAGTTCTATTTCTCCATGTTTTTACACAAAGCAGAGACTTACACGCTGATGACTCAACTCATCAACTTGGCCATGAAACAGTAAGTTTCAGTCTAGTTTAGTAGTCAGACCAGGCTAAGAAGGCAGTGCCCCCTACTGTTCAGTAAAGCTGGGTTATGGCAGAAAATAATATTGTTTTACAATTATTTAAATTTCCTCAGAATTGCCAGTATCTTAGGCCCCTCGCCCACTATACGATTTCGGTCGTACGACACCGTGTCGGAACGACAACATTTCAACAGTGAACCATTGGATCTTATGAGAGCTCGCCCACTGTACGATAATCTCACGACTACGACAAACTGTCGTGAAGCAGTCTTCCACTGCCACTGTGATACACGACTGTCGTACGACTGTCCAATTTGCAGTGGCGTGTACGATCAAATGGGCGCTCGCCCACTATACGATTTTTTGTCAGATGTCGTGTGTTCTCCACAAGTCCTCCTAGTCCTAGTCTGCACTGAGCCTTCTCGCTGTTTACTTCTCATGCCTTCGTTTTGACTTCTGAGTAATAGTGACAAATAGTATTAATATTTAAAATACCCCCCGCCGCTGCAAACCTGCAGACTAAGCGAATTTCCTTTAGCCTGATAGGATTTACACTAAAATGCCCCCTTAAAAATATCATATTTATTCCCTCTTTAAATAGAATTAGTTTAACGAGTACTTAGGTTTGCTGCAATCTCTATTTTCAAAATATGTTGTTTACTTGTTTGGCGAAAATATTCAATTAGTTGTGTTAAAGTTAGAAACCCATCCATTTTCTGAAATTCAATAAAAACACTTTTTTAGAAATGATACTAGTTTTTGTTTTATTAAAGGATTTTTAAAATTGCAATTTGACTTATATAGGTGAGTTATTTGGTTAGTCTTTTATAAAGTATTTTGTACTTTACGTATTATCTTGAATTTTAATTATAATTCACCATAACTTAAGCCATCTACGAACACAATGTTTTAGTTAGTCACTGTTTTCAATACTTGTAATGACATCCTGTATATTTTGCAGGCTCATTGATGAAAAAACTGGATTCAGCGTCGATCGTGATCTTCTAACCAAACTGAGGTACTTTTTAAATCATTAGACTTAAGTTCATTGACATTTCCTAGATTTTTCTGGATAAACATTTGGTTTTGTCTGGTAATGATAGTTTTTGAAAACAGTGCAATCTCACTTTAACAAAAGTTAAAAATTACATACAATACTGTATTGTACAGATAATAATAAATGCTCTCACAGTAGGCAGTGCAACAAACTAAGAATCCAAGGTAGTCGAGTTGTGGGTTCGTGACTGGGTGTCGCCATTCATATATAATCTGTACTATCTGGATAGGAAATAAGCCCGAAAAATAGCATATGGTGAGCGTCCGATATATCGGACCGCGGCGGCAGAAAGGTTAAATTTATCTTTACAGTTCAGTTTTGTATTTTACGGGCTCACCTCATTCTTTGTTTGATACGCTCAATGCTCAGGTTCAAGACCCATTTGGAAGGGCAAATTTAAAGTTTAATATGTCTGCTAACCTCTTTAATTAAAAAAACAGTTTGATTAAGGGTCATAGTTCTCGTTGAGTGAGGTTTTAACTTTTTCCACAGTAAAAACGTGGCCAAGAAACAGTCGTTTCTGAAGCGTGATCTGGATGCTCGCTCGCTCTCAGAGGCGTATCGTCTCATGTTCCACCTTCCTCAAAGCGAAAAGTTGGACGGATCGACGGAGGCGACACTGTGGACACCATACAACAAGACACACGTGTGGGGGCGAATGTTCATCTCGCAAAACTACATCTGCTTCGACAGCCGGGTGAGAGATAAGACGTAAACTTTAATAATTAACTTTGAAACGGCGACCATACAAATGCAGGTATTTTAAACCAAGTATGAATGGAGATGAGTGTAGGATGAGTGACACGATCTTTTAGTCTTGTTAGCGACTGGCCAACATATTCCTTAGACACAGCTGTTAATTAATAGCCCATACAGCCAATGGCAATTAAGGGACCTACAGTTTATAGTGGAATCCGACTACATTTTTGCCTTGTAATTAATGAATTGGTCTAATTATCAGGATAGTACTGTGGATAGTCGTAGTACTCACTAGTGCCTACGTTAATCCACACCAGGAAGTATCACATCCACACAGCATGCCTATAAATATCCACAATTCGTGACCTCCTAGTAGCTGGATTATAGGACGCCACCGTCCCAGTCTTAACTCTAGAGCTTTAGGTGTCACGTATAATCATAATAAATGGGTGGAGGGATTTTAATTTCTTGAATTCTCTTCTTCTTCTCTTTTGAATGATAGTTAAGTTCTTTCGAGCTAGGAATAAGACCGTTCAATATGTTACCACTTGGCCTTAAAAGTTTAGAACCTATAGGCCTAGATCTTAAGAAATAGGTCAAATGAATAATTTTACAGCTTATTGTAGGGCCTATATTCTGTGAATGAATTCATTGAAAATTCTTAATCAATGGACTGATGTAAGCTATTGATTTGTTTTGTAAACAATTATGTTTACAGTATTTTTTACTTTGTCAAACATTGTAAATGTGTTGGGACAATAAATGGTTTGACTTTGTTGAATTGATTTATCAGTTGTATGGGTTTAAGTAGTTGTTGCACGTCTACTTTACAACAGGGTAAAGTCGTATTGTATCAAATACAATATTTATTCATAATGTACACCGGGGTTCGAGCTGGTCTAGTCGTTAGAGTGCGGGACTTCGGTCCCTGTGGTCCCAGGTTAAAATCTTGCCAATCATCAATGAATTTTATCTAAGTGATAATGCCGCAACCCCTACATGTAGTCTGTGAGAAATGTGAAAAACAATCCCAGGCTCAAGCCTAGCGTCTTAGGACAAAAAATTCATAATGTACAACCGTACAATGAGTGGTGTCAGATCTTATTTCTAAGAAACAAAAGTAAGTACATAACATTAACTTGGTTACAGGTACATAGAAATAATAATTAATTAATTGAAATACAAGCTATTTTATCTATCATAAATTCCTTTAAATTTTTATTAAATTTCGTTATATTATTCTCAATTTTTAAACTTTCAGTTTCAGGCAATCTGATAGATAATTTGGCATTCATAAATGTTGTCTTTCTCATAAAATATTCTAATTCATGCGTTTCCAATTACAAATCACTTTTATACCTAGTGTTAAGTATGATTGTGGTCCAAAAAACTAGTGAAGAAATCTCATAACACAAATTTATCCTCAGGTGAAAGGGCTGGTCAGTTTAGTACTGCCGTTGAGAGATGTGGTGCAAATAGAGCGAGCGGAAAACCAGGCTTCCAACCCCTCCGTGGACCATTCCATCCTCATCACCACTCGGACAGCTCAACGATCTACCTTCCTCTTCTCACAAATACAAGACAGGGACTTTGTGGTACAGAAACTGTCAGATCTCTTGGCCAAGATACGCATGTGAGTAGACTTGAAGGTTTTTGTAGTTACTGTTCCTTTAAAATCAGTTGATGACTTCATTGAGGGAAATATGGTGGAATCATAGGTTGATTTAATCTTTTGCCTAACGAAAAATGAGGTAGTCTGTGAAGCTGTTACAGTGTTGAAACTAAAGATTTATAAGTAAATACCCCCGCCCCAGAAAACCTGCAGACTAAGCGAATTTCCATTTGCCAGAATTGATTTTAAATTAAATCTATTTAAATAACATTACGTTTAACAAGTACCTAGGTTTGCTACTGCAGGGAGGGTAAAATAATAAAGTGTGTTTGTGTTAGTAAAACATTAATAGCTTAACAATAAATTAATAAATTTGCCAAAGACGGTTACTCAGATAAAAATCTGAATAAACGCAGGTTTACACGTTTGTACCAAATTTCATTGAATTCGGATAATTTTTGCTTGAGTTATCGTGCTAACGGACACACACACACACACATTATATATAAATTGGAACGGATGGTGTTTTTGGCCTCTGGAGACATCAAAACAAAAAAGTAAATCGGTCCCGGGCCCAGGTCTTACCATGAGACCTACGGTAATAGCTTATTCAGGCCTATATGGTAAATTCGCTAAAAGATAATATGACAATGGTGTTCCCGTCAAAATGCACATAATCCAATAGGAAAAATTTGTACCACAAGGCGACAACAGGTAATTTAACCTTTTCTTTTCAAAATCTTAGTTCTCAAATTTCAAATTTAGTTTTAGCACTGCAACATCTTCACAAATTACCAAAAGAGCCAACCACTAACAATTTAGGTAAAAATTTAAATCAACCTTCGATGACGTTTCATGCCGAAATGTTCATAATCCAGTAAGACAAACTGACGACAGTTAATTTAACCTCTTTATTTGTCAAATAATTGGTCAGGAAATACCACAATAGGAAATAAAGGTATACCAGTACTGTACTGTCTCATCCCTTGCTTTGGTTGTAACACAAATTGGACTCAGGCCATTCTGAACAGGATATGGAAAGTAAAACGCCAACCTCTTGAACAAAATGTGTTGGTAAAAAAATACATATTTTACTGAATTAGAGGTGCGTAAAAATTAAAGCTGCTTTAAAAGTGGACTTTATCAGAGTTTAGAATGCCTACCCCCTGGGAATTGTAAATAAAAGTGCTGTTTTAAATGAGGAATTCACTTATTTTTGGCTAATTATTACCTGTAGTTTTAGCTATAAGTATGTCCATGTAGATTTTTCTACCGTATTACCATAGTAATGTAATGTTTGTTCTTTTAGGGTAGCATTAGCGAGGGAACTAAGGTTAGTTAGTTTTACTATCGTAGTTTTGCCTGAGTAATTTATTACATTTTGTAGTTAAATATTTTTCATTGTTTTCTTATTTCTGTTTGATTTTGATTTTTATTATTTTTGACAACTATTGGGAGTGAATATATTAACTTTCCTCTTCATTAATGTCATTTATATAATAGTCGTTGTTATCATACTGGTTTTTGTTTGGATAATGATTGGGTTTTGAGATAAAATATATTTTCAAATCTAAATTTAAATGGTTTAAAGTTAAATCTAAAAAAAATGGCTTGACACTAGTGTTCAAATTCTTACTCCCTTTTATACAATCTTGCTAATTTTGACTTTTGTTGTTGTGGTTGTTGAATAATGCTATTTTTACTTTTAGATTTGAGATTTATAGATCATCCCTACTTCTCTCATTTCAAAACTGTCTTTGACGCCCCTTTCATGTTTTAGCCTGCTGATGTGCTTGGTCATGGTCTAGTGTTTTCTTGTGTATAATATGACCCTGGTTGTAGTTTGTTAGTTCATAGTTAAAGTTTTTTTTATGTGAATGTCAGACATTAACCATGTTCTTGGTACTTAGACACAAGACATATCCTCCCTAGAAATGCTATTAAATGTAGAAACTATTGCTCACAAAATGTATTTAATGTTTTACTATCTTACTGTTGACTTTTTATCTTGTTCTTTTTTCGCAAGTTTCAAAATTATAAAATTTGTTGTTAAATTTTGTGTTTTTTCAGATGCACAAATCCAGAAAGTCCTTTAACTGAAGACAGTGGTAAGTTGATATTTCAAGAAACAGTTTAATTAAACTATTTTATAAAGTCCTTGATTTCTCTTAAAATTTGGTCAATCTCATTTAACATATAGTTATGTAGTTGTTCCATTATCAGTTCTTAAGACGTTTAATTGTCATTGGTGATTTGGTAGTTGGTCATTTGGTGAAAGATATTTAACTCTATAAAAAAATTGTATGGGACAGCCTCATAGCTGATTAATTGAACCTCATATACAATAACCTATTTAATTTTGTAAAACATACAAAAAACAAAAGAGTTAAACGATTTTTAAAATATTATTTATCCTTTACTTATCGCTATTTTCTAACTTACTTTAGATCTTATATTGTAAAGAACTGTTTGCCTTTAGATTGGCAAGTGCAGCCACCGATGATGACAGTGTTCAAACCTACACCTTCGCCTGAATGCAAAGCTCGTCAGGAGGTTAAGGTAAATAGTTTTACTACTGATAAAAAATAAAAATAGTATTTTACAAATTTTTTATAGAACACAGCTCCACAGCTGCAATAACATTGTTCATTCCTAAAATCAGACTGTTTACCAAAACTCGACTCTCTTGCAGGCTAAACAGTGGGAGTTACATTTCTCCGAGTACGGTCGAGGCATCTCCATGTATCGCACGACTGAGATCGCCAAACTTGTGCTGCAGGGTATCCCGGACTCTCTACGACGGGAGGTCTGGATAAACTTCTCTGGTAAGAACTTAATCTTTAAGTATAAAATAAAATGGATGTCGGAATGTTTACGTGTTACTAAATTATTGATCCGATTTTGTGAAACTCCTTTAACTTTCAAAGATACCAATCCTATATGAATCATTTCATTGATTAGTTTTCACGCAGAAAGCAAGTTCCTGTGTCATATTCTTTTTGTTGACGCTTCTGTTCACACAAATTCTGTGGTTAACTAATTTATCATGTAATAATGAAATATCTATTATCCAGGCAGAGTAGACACAACTTCCTGCAGTAGATTACGTGCTGTCCTGCACCGTACAGTGTTATATTTTGTTCTTTTGTTTTTTGTTGCTTAAATGATGAGTTTTTTAATGTCCGTGTTTGTGTGCATTTTTTTATCATTATTAATTCACGACCTTCAAATGAAGCAAAAAGACACCCTAGTACTGGCCTGAGAATGACACGTATGTGAGTCGAAACTAGTTCCCAATCCTCAACGGTTCAGATCGCATAGATGCAGATCTCACAACAATCCATGGTAAAATTTGAAGCTAGATTTACCAAGAATCAATCCAGTCCCACTTGCATCGAAAGCCCAAGACAGTGGGCAACAGTAGGTTAAATGATCGTAGATTACATAAAAATTGATATATTTGTTTAAAGTATTTCCTAAAGTTACAAATTTATGTCCAGGAGCGCGAAACGAGATGGCCAGTAATCCCGGAGTCTACCGAGACTTGGTCAACAAGAACATCAATATTCACTCTACAGCCAGTGACGAGATAGAGCGAGATCTGCACCGCTCTCTGCCTGAGCATCCTGCGTTCCAGTCAGAGATGGGCATCGGAGCTCTACGGCGAGTGTTGGTAGCCTACGCTGCACGCAATCCACAGATCGGTAAGTCTGATAATCATGATTTAGTTTTTGTGAGTGTTGTTTTCAGTTAGTTACCTGCAACAAAATTTAATTTGCTGTTATTGTAGTTAATTTTGCTAACTTAAACCCAGTTTCACCTGAAAAAAGTCAGCTTTTTGATAAAAGAGTTTTTTGTAAAAAGATTAATGAAACATAAATTTTATTCTACCACAAAAAAACGGGATTCAAAACAAAATTTTATGTTGAAAACAGGGTGTCCATATTCTGGAAAGTCAGGGATAGTCATGGAAAGTCATGGAAAAAAATTATGGTCATTGAAAGTCATGGAAATAGGCAAAAAGTCATGGAAAGTCATGGAAATCCCAATGATGGATGGATTTCAGGGGACCTTTCAATGCTCTAGTCAGCCGTAACCGCGACTATTGTGGCATTTTTCCAAATTTTTCACAAATGTACAACAATTTCAATTTATACAGTTGTCTTAGTTTATGGGTTTTGAGCTTGTATTAGTTCATTGTTGTACCTATTGTACTCCATTGTTATCTGTTAATATATATTTCAATATTTTCTGTGAAATAACTTGTCTAGGCAGTATTATTCGTTTGTGTACGGTATATTATAATTTTTGAGTGAGTCATGGAAATCAATGGTTAATGGTCATGGATAGTCATGGAAATTCAGGGAAATTTATGAAAAAATTTCTGTGGACACCCTGGAAAACTACTTATTCTATACAATTTTGGGATAATGTAAAGTATTAAAATTCTATTGTTGGATTACTGTTACATATTCTGTATAATAAACCTCTCATATACCAATAAGATTTTTAACCTTTTAAATCAATGGTAGCTGCTATCCTTATCTGTTTGAGTAGGCAAAGAACCCACTAAGGCTGTTATTAGGCTTAGCCTCTCTTCAGCCGTAGGAACTTTCACAGGTGCTGGGTTCATTACAAACAAAAGCTGAGTATTTAACCTGTAGGAGCACTGGGTTGTGTGGGTGATGAATGTGGTGAGTTTGTGATCTTTGTGGTTTGTGGTTGGTGAAAGTTCAAATAGTTTGCATGAAGAACATTTTGAAGAACTACAATGACCATGTATGTATATCTTCTGTGTCATACCTGTAGGGATACATATTGTTTTTGGAGATACCTAGTTGTTCAGAGGTATTATGTTTGTTCAGGCTACTGCCAGGCTATGAACATAGTGACCAGCGTTCTCTTGATCTTCTGCTCTGAAGAAGAAGCTTTCTGGCAACTAGTGTGCGTTTGTGAAAATCTTCTACCGGACTACTACAACACTAAGGTACGTGTGAAAATATTTTAAAATGATGTGGTTGTTTATTGATTTTATTGTTGGAAGATCAATCAGAATTGTAAGGAAAATAAAAAATATTTTTAAGGTATTTAGAGAACTGTAAAATAATTTTTACAAACAATTCCAATTCCGAATTACTTCTTTGAAGCATAAAGTGACTATTAAATTACTAAAAAAAAAAAAAACTAAAACAAAAACGGATAGTAGCCTACCTGTAAATTTGGAAGCATTGTTGTAAAAGCTGATATTACAAGTTTTAGCCCATAAAATCAAGCTTCCTCTATAAACAAAGATACCAGTTTATCTATTTATATTCATGTTGTTAGATTCCGAATAACTTTTACAGCACTTGTAGTAAATATAATAGTGCCATAGTGTTCTAAATACCTTTTACGGCCGAAGTGATTTATGTAGTCTGTATAGACTTCCGGTTTCGACTCTCAAAGGAAGTCTTCATCAGGCGACAAGGTAATATATTTTCATTCAGTTAGAACACGTCAATTTTTTGTCAAACAATAACACCAGAAAATATACAAACAAACACGCACATAAACGTTTGGCTAATAAATTAAAAATACAAAGTAAAATGTGTGAAGATGTTTAGGGGGACCAGAACTACTATGTTATCTATTTATTTTATTTTAATCGTCAGGTTGTAGGAGCTCTGGTAGACCAAGGTGTTCTAGATGATTTGATCGCAGAACATCTGCCACATCTACACACGGCCCTGCAACAGCTGGGCATGATCAAAATGATCTCACTCTCTTGGTTCCTTACTATCTTTCTCAGGTAATCATAGCTGATGGTTTAAAAATCAGATGATTGAACATCTGTTATTTTGTGCTTTAACATTGTTATTATTACTCAACTATCAAGCATTGTATGATTGTTTCAGTTTGAAAATATGAAAAAAAACTTGCAAACAATTTATGTACAAGTAGTTCAAGATCTATTATATAGTTAGTGTTGATATATCTAGATAATCTAAATCGTTTAATGCTTTTGCTTAGAACCCCTTTTAACCTTACTCTTAGATTTATTTACTGTGATTCCTTGATCAAACGGTTATGAGTGTTTAATTACATTCAAACTTAGATATACGCTACATTTTTATCAATATTTAACTGAACATATAAAAAAGGTATGTTTATTTTATTGCTCTAAACTTATGATTGTTGACAAGGATCTTCTATTTCCAGTGTAATGCCGTATGGAAGTGCAGTCAACATTGTGGACTGTTTTTTCTACGACGGTGCTAAAGTAATTTTCCAGGTAAATTACAAATAATTGATAACATAATACTAACACTATTTTAGTAAGTACATTGCCAAGTATCCACATTTTTTGTTACTGTAGAAAATTTTCAGTCATGGATAGTATTAATTACAAATTACTTCTCATAAGGCAATACTTAGTAAAATAAAAAATAGGATGCGTTTGGAGTAGTGGTTAAGGCCTGTGATTTCTTTCCTGTAGGTCAGGTTTTTAAAATCCAGCTAAAAGCCAATTTATTTTATCTACATGCTGTGACCTGGTGGTTCAGTGCCCACCTTAAGCCGAAGGCCACTTATCAAGTAAAATAAAATGAGTCTGTTAGGTGAAAAGAACCGTCTATGTAGGTATTAAAAGTATTTAAAAAAATCAAAAATATATAAAAAATAAGAAATTTAATATTTTTTTAAAGTTGAACTTGAAAAATACTTTTCTATTTGTTTACACACTTTTATGTTTCCATAAGCATGTTTATCTGATTAGGATAGACCATTTGATAGTTCATAGTGTAATGGAGGGTAGCCTAGGCAAGCTAGGTTGATGACCTGTGGTCAGACCTTGCTTGCTATGAAACGTGCTGGAGGTGTTTTGTAAGCACTGGGTGCTTTGCACTCAATAGCTGTCGGGTTGAATAAATAGGCCGCCTGAGGTAGAGAAAGGGGTCAGTTGCCCAGGGCAAGGTGCCCAGAAGAGTTGGGTGAGTACTGTTTGCTCTAACTTAGGGTTAGGCCCTTTGGTTGCATGTTTTTTGTAAGGGGAAGTTTTGTTTTACTGGGATTATAAGTTAATTAGGATTTGTGATTTTTGATATGGGAAATTCTTTTGGGTCGGACATTTTGTTTGATTAAATTACGAGGAAGTAGATTCGTATTTGGGATTTTCCATACTCAGAGTTCTAGCTGCCTACAGGACGTTTCCGACTAGCCATTTATTAGTGGGTTTGTTGTTTATAACTGTTTTATTATTGTATAGGATAGTTGATTGATTTAAGTTAAGGTAATAAAAAGGTTCAGTGCTTTGAATTTAATCTGATCCTCTCATTTAACAGCCACCCAGCTCATAACTAGAGTTATATAAAGTTAATGATCCGGGTTTCACTTAAGCTACGCTCCCATGTGTATATGCAGGATAACCTGTGAAGTGTGAGGGGGTTTTCTGCTTATCACAATAGTACTCACTGCAGCGTTCAAGTGAAAAATGTTAGGCCTGTACTACAACATTTTTTTTAAATATGTCTTTTCAAAATTAGTTATTATCTTATTGCAAAACAATGTTTTCAGGTGGCGTTGACCATTTTGGAAACAAACCAAGACAAACTGTTGACGTGCACTGATGACGGTGAAGCTATGCAGATCTTGTCTGATTACCTGTCGGGAGTCTTCAATGATGAAGAACCTCATCGGGCAATCATCAGAGATGGGATACCTGTCAACAAGGTGAATAATACACCTACAGTTAGTCAAGAACTTCTTAGAATAAAGGTTAAACTGTGTGACATATACAAAAAGCAGTAAACAAGAGGGTAAACTTACCTATGGTATTAGCCAATCACAGAAAGTGATGTTTGTATAGGTATAGGTGTATTTTCAACATTTATCGATGAATATAGCTATTTCATAAGTGTGCAGTAAACGTTTGTGTATTGATGAAGCGATATTTATAACAATCTCACAACGGTTGGGTAACGATGATGTTTGAATACTTAAGATGGGTTTTCTTAGGTGTAGAAGCGGAGCATGGAATGCAGAGTGCAGGGTCCACTCTCCTCATGTCTTTGATAATTTAATGGTACAGTACAACCTCGGTAGTTCGACACTTTGTGGACTTAAGGGGTGTCGAACTATTGAAGTGTCAAACTGTAGGTAGTAAATGGAGTTTAATATAAGGAAAGTTATGTAAAAATAAAAAAGTTTTATATAGAAATCACCCAAATTTATTTTATACTAAAAAACTTATGACAAATTAATGTTCAAGTCAACTTAAATCACAATAGTAACCATTAAATATCACTACATTAAATATTTTGTGATCTTCGATTGTTTTTACTCTGATTTCACTCTGAACGGTGTACTAAAATCAAAATATCGATCGCTAATGTTTATACTGGTAGCCTTAGCCCGTGTTGAACTACAAGGAGTGTTGATCTATCGAGTGTCGAACTATTGAAGGTGTACTGTACTACTGTTTTCCTAGAAGCGGAGTGGACTGCCATTGAAACTGTTTTTCCGCACTCTGTTCTCTGCTTCCACGCCTTGGAAACCCCGGCTTTACTGCTGTATATTTTAAAATTATCAATGCATTTAAATTCAAATTCTCCTTATTCACACAGTACAAGTTTTTCACAATTTTAATATGCCTGTGTTTCTCAAGACTACCTATCTGCAAAATGTCAGCTCAATCAGTCCAGTAGTTTTCACGTGATGGAACTTAAGAGTTATACACCAACAGTCACATTCAAAAACCTTAACATTTATAATGTTAGCAGAATGACCTTTCTAGCATCTAGCTATTAAAATAACTGTGCGTCAAATGCTAACACACATCCAAGTGTTTTTCACATATTATACTGTTGTATTTTTAAATTTACATTATTTTTACATACATGCACCCAGTGATTTACTAACTGTGTAACATTACTTATTAACCAAGTTCTGCTGTTTGTCGTCAGAGTGTGTCGGTGCAGTCGTTGCTGTACGACGCGTACACAAAGTACGGCTCTCTGACCACCGGAGAGATAGAGCAGCTCAGGATCAAACATCGGCTCCGAGTGGTGCAGTCGCTCGAAGACGGACTGAGTCGTAACATCATGAGGTCGATCGTGGCCGACGGCTACTTCCGACAGGAGGAGCTCATGGTATTGTCGATTATCTCAATTAATTTTACTTTGGCAAAAAGTTTTCGTTCGAGCTTCAGGGTGTATCTAATTGAATATTGGAGCTTTGAAGCTTTATTGTGACTTATTACGTTGAACTTAAATAAATAATACACAATACACCTAATGAAAGGGAATACAATAAGGTGTCTAACGGTAATTTCAGTAATTTCAAATTTGACTAAAAGGGTTTCTAATGAGTAGATATAATATGAGGGTTTTACCTCACTTTCGGCGTTTTTGGACTCAGGACTTTTGAAATTTGTTGGCGAAAAAACACCCCAAATAGGTAAAATATGATGGTTTTACCCCATTTTTGGCGTTTTAGAGGCTATATGGGGGCATTTTTTGGTGAAAAAATGTTATTAATACTGAAAAAACAAGCCTGGAAAATGGCTCATTTTTTTGGCCACTTTTTTAAAGACCCGGCTCTCGGCACGCGAACTCGGGCGTGCTCCTAACCCATAGGCACACTTCCGATCCCCAGCGATGACAAACTAAAAGTCTTATGAAAAAATGTTTGAAACAAAAATTGAGTAACATCTAATCATCTATACTTTTCCCACTGACAGTTTTTCTCTGACCAAAAAATAAAAAAAATCCTCGCTTACTTACTTTTTCATGTTTACTTAGAGTAACCTTTTTATATTTTCCTTAATTAATAATTACACACTAGCACAAATTAAATTATATTTATATTGTATTAAACAGTAGTTCATGTAGAATTTTAATATATAAATTTCATGCTATAAATATTTTTATTAGAAGCTAGACCAATGTGTAAGTGATAGGACTAGGAGGCGCATCACTTTGAACATCATCACGCCCCTGACACTGCCGTGCTGGCAACACCTGGAGTTTGAAACCATTGTCATTGTTGAAATTATATTATAACATATTCACATACAAAAGAAACTGGTAAATGGTTTAAAATTGTTTAACTTTTTATGCTGTATTATTATGTTGAAACCCATGTACTAGGCTGGAATTTTAGCCGTTTTGTTTTATATCAAGCCTTTTTGAGATATAAGAACTTTTAAACAATAAAGGAGACCTATATTTACTAATGCTGATATTATATTACAATGCATTGGCATACAAATGAAAACAGTTTGATTTATTTGTACTCATATAAAAAAATATAAAATTTTGAGTTATTGGAACCTCTGGTGATTAAATTACAAATTTAGAACATTTATAATGGACTTTTAAAATAATGGAATCAAGTATAGACTTATAACATTTTCATGATAACTGTTTGATTTATTTGTACTCATTTAAAATAATGTTAAAATACTATTTGATTTTTATGTTGTATTATTGTTTTTTTATCAAAAGTTGAAACCAATGTAGTGTGCCTAAATCTTTATTTACTGTTTTGCCGTATCTCAAGCAGTTTTTTTTTTAAATAAGTATTTTAAAACGATAAAGTCACACCAGTAATGCATGGAGTTTGTAACCATTTCCAACACTGATATTATGTTATAATACATTGTCATACAAATGGAACCATTTAATTTATTTACCAAATGGTACTCATATAAATTTTAGATTTTTAAATTTGTATCCTGTATTATTGTTTTTTTACCAAAAATTGAATTCAATGTAATGTGCCTAAATGTTTATTTACTGTTTTGCCGTATCTCAATCCAATAGATAGAATAGGGCAAAGAGGTGTTTTTTTTATGTTTTACCTATGAGAATAACATGGGGAGATGTTAAGCCACTTTTTAAAAATCATGCTCATTCTCTATATATTTCTATACAAATAATGTCCAACTCCAAAAATATTTCCAATCCCCATTAATCTCTGTATCATGTGAGTTTTGTACCAGTTGGTTTGAAATATTTATAAATATAATGTGTTGCTGGAATCCCTTTAAATGGCAAGAAACACGTAGTCTTGAGACCTCTGGTGGATTTTTCCTTGTCTGAACTAAATATTTGTAAAAAATTGAAAAAAATATGTTTTTTACTCAACTATTTTAGGATCTTGAAACATGTATTACCGAGGAATCAGGCAAATATTTCGTGCCGAAATTATATTTAACCTTATGTGAGGACTAGGAATTGCTATTTAAAATTAGTCTTGCTCCACAGTATTGTTGTAGGCTTGCTTCTCGTCCCAAGTGATGAATTGTGTACAGTTTATGTGTGGTGCAAAGACTGGGTTCTCTTTTTAGTTGTGACCAGCTCATTCCTAAGATTAGTAAGGCATGCTAGATGGTATTCAGTTTCTCTCTGAATGTAAGCAAAATATAATATTCAGTTTAGGACTTAAAGTTAATGTCGGATGCGATGCCTCTTTGATTGAAAGTTTGGGCTGTGATGAGCTCAACCCCTATCACTAGTATCAGCATAGATCCATTGAACTATTATGTGTTATTGTACTTTGTGCTGATTAATATGTGTTTGGCACAACACACAATCCCACATCTTGCTAATTGTAGTTGGTAGTTTAGGTGGCCAAAGTTGAAGTAGGGAGCATTGACTTTCTACAATCATGATGAGATATCCAGCCAGAGCCTCAGACTACAATAAAAAAATAGATGAAAATGCAAACTCTAAAGGCCCCGACCGTGTTTTATACTTCTAGGCTGGAACAACCTTTACTTGGAATATCGTACATAAATTGTTTGTATATATAAGACACTTGTAGTGAATGTACTCTTCGATGAAAAGACAAAATAAAGATGAAAACTACTTTATGCAAAGAAGAGAAAGTAATTGTGAAGGGTAGCTACAAACAATTGCATTTTGGTGAGCAATGAAAGTTGCTATAATTATTGGGATCGTTTTGGGTAAGTTTATAGATATGCATTGTGTTTACAGGAATTAATCATAGTAGGGATGCCATTTACATTGAGACATATCGATTTAGTTAAAGTGGTAAAACGAAGACCATGAAAGTGGTGGATAAAGATTTTATTTGTTGAGCAATCGATATGAGAAGGAGTTTCTTGTTAAACAATAACCTGGAAAACCAATACAACGTAATGCATTGTCATCCCTCATTGGTATTGTACCTTACAAGCTCTGTTGTTCTTTACTCATTTCCAAAAACATATAAATTACAAAATAAGCCATTTTTTTGTTTATTTTACTGTTATGTATTGTAAGTTTATATATTGAAATAAATGGTTAAATAAATGTAAGTTGAAAAATGAGCTTTATTTTGTCACTAGTTTATTTACATTGATTTGAATCACATTTTTGAACTAACAGATGATTAAATTATTAATTGCATAGCATTTGAAACATAGAGATACAACATTTATATTATTAACTGGAAACTATAGGTCTATATTACTGTATGAACATAATTTATGTATTTCATATACGTAAAAACAATGAGACCATGCTAAATTACAGAATTCAGTAACAAAGGAAGTTGATATTGTGCTATATACCTGAGGGTGTAAATATAGAGGTGGGTATTTCCATAGAGACCTAATGATGAATCAGAATGTGAAAGTTCTATGGTAGAAATATCAAGAAAGCAAGAGTGATCATCAGAGGTAACATGGTCATTAGGGAATTCATAGAGAGGGGTCAGTCAGGTTGAACTAGTATATTGCAATGATTCATCCAATATAGAAACAATAGTTACAAATAACCAGAACCAATCACTGAATATTGTAGTTAGTCTTCCTATCCTACTGTTAAAATATGAAACTCATTTTTACATGAGTTAGTGAGTTCATGCCCGGCAACATGAGTGTAATAATGGTTCCAAATGTATTTATCTTATTTTATGGTAGATTTCATTGTGTATGCTTACTCTATGGTAAAACTCTTTGAGATCATTTAATATTTAACACACTTAGAGATTAGTGAATAAATCATCAAAGTGTGATATAAATATGCTGGGTGAAATGTATTAAAACTTGCTATTATGTGTTATTGTACTTTGTGTTGATTAATATGTGTTTGGTAAATTAGCATGGCACAACACACAATCCCACATATTGCTAATCGTAGTTGGTAGTTTAGGTGGTCAAAGTAGAAGTAGGGAGCATTGACTTTCTACAATCATTATCAATTAATTTTATCAATTAAAGGATTGTCAAATGTCTCGGTTTTGCTAACTATGACCTGGTGTCCCGAAAAGGGCTCTTAAGACCATAAGATGACTATACATAAAGTTTGGACTATTGAATGTGATGTGAATTTATGCATACTTCATCATACAAATGTTACACTATAGTATTTTTACAAGTTCTGACTGTGACTGTGATGTGAATTTGTGTGTATTTCATCACATAAATTTCACACTATTTTCACACATTTCACACCACTATTATGATGTGTTGTGCCTGCATGGGTGTGTTGAGCCATGGATATCATAAACCACAAAGCTATAAGGACGTATGCTAGAACTGATCTAACCTCTGCCAAACCCTGAATACGAGCCTGGAGGCACAGACTTCGGACCAAGGATCAATTGTAAATAGACAAACCTGCGTGATAGGATATAGAACACTGAATAATGCAAATGTTAGAAACTTTAGTCTTTTACTTATTTACCCTTACCATCCTCTGTTTTGGAGGAAACTGCCTTACAACCAACATGATGAAGATTGTATTAATACTTGATCATTATAAAATTGATCAAACATAAATCTGTATTTGCCATTATTCATAGACCTTTCCTTGTCTATTATGAAAAAGCCATCAAACACTGGTGGTATTGATTAAATGAAAAGTCATTATTAATATGATTGTTAAATATAAGGTTTTAAATTTATATTGCCTTGTTTGGATAATATTAGAAAATGTACGTTATCGCATAAATGTTTGTGTACTTTCTAAGTAAAAGCAGTTAATATTTTTATGTTGACCCATTGAGAGAAATTGTATACTATTTGTACTATAAAAGGTCTATTCATGCATATCAGTCCAGTAAAAGTTCTGTTATAATCCAGTCATAGGTCAGTCTCAATTGCATCCATAGTTTCTCAGTTATTTGAAAGACAATATTC